AAATTAAAAACGAAAAAAACAAAAACAAAAACCAACAGCAACAGCAACAACCGAAACATGCAATTTCACATGTAGCCTCTCCCCGTCCCAATCACACCGTTTACGATCGCTTAATTGGCATTTGGGTGGCGGCGTGTGCTCTACCATACACTCTGTGTATCTCATGCCAATCACCGCCAAGATGCCAGAACGGTAATTCGTGCAACAACGATTGAGAGCGCTGTTACCAAGTGTGTAATTGTTCTGTTTCATGCGTTTTTGGAATGGAATGCCATTGGAAAAATACACTGCACTGCAGCAAGCAGCATGCAACCATGCACTGCCAGTCACACCAAATCAAACTCTAATTTCTTAATTCACCAACAGCAGCATCAACAACAACCAGCCAATCGACAGTTAATTTCATTTACTTTGGCGCCGTTAATTGAAAACCCTTTAAAACAAACAAAACAATATGATTGGGATTTTCCATGGGCTATGTGATCCAAATGCCGATGATTTCTAATCGAAAATAAAATACAAAGAGTAAATGAGCCACCAAATCACTTTTTTTCAACGCATTGACCACAAATGATGCTTTCGAGCAATTAAATTGAACGGTTTTTGAGGTGTAAAAATTCTTCATCTTCTTTCTTTTCTTTTCACTACAATGAGAAAAATCACACTTTTTTGTGTTGGTTTTTATTGGTATTTAATTTGTTGTTCTTATTTCTGTTGCCGTTGATGTCTCACTCATCAGATTGAAATTTACCAACAATTCAATTTATAACTTGATTACTCATTTTTTTGAGAAGAAGAAAAAAAAATTACCGAAAAAACTGCACAAAAATGCCACAATCTAATTTTGAAAATAATTCACATTTTTTTGCTTTCAAAACACGCTTAGAAATAATTTATTTTTCTGAAGAAAATTCGAAATTTACTTTAAATCTCTTCTGAAGTGCACAGCTTCAACTGTTCATTAATCACAGACTCAGAAAAAAAAACCGTTTAAAGAAGGAAAAAAACGTTGCACGTTCAACTTGATTCACCGGGAGCAAAGCACAAACTGCAGCTAGCCATCGAACTCAATACATCCGAAAGCCAATCTGTCCCCGGCAAAAGCAATAGAAGCAAAACAACGGATGTTTTCCATTCGAAATTCAAACAGTGAATAACGTGTTAAGTCAGCTAGTCAAGAGCGTATACGCGCTGCCTGTAGTTTGGCGGCATGGTGTTAGCTCGGTGGCTGCTATGCGTTACCATTGCCATATGTTTGATACACACTTGTTCATTGTTGCTTAGTGTGCCATTCGGTGTGTTGTATACTCTCTTTCCATGCCTGTTTTATTTTCATTTTTTTTGTTCGCTGTTTCGTTGCTTCCAATAGATGAGTGAACAACACAACGGAGAGCATCTAGATGTATTTACACTGTGCGCGAATGCGAATCGCTTGTTTTTCTACGTTGTATCGATGTCGACCGAAAATGGTACAAAACATTATCGACGACGACTTGTTCGCTGTCGATATGGGAAAACATGTGCTGTTGCTTTACTGTTATTCCGCTGAATCTTCTTACATTTCAATTTTTCTTCTTCATTGATCTCATTTCTCTCTCTCTCGCTCTCTCTCTCTCTCTCTCTCTCTCTCTCTCTCTCTCTCTCTCTCTTGATGCTGACAAAGATCTCAGTGATCATTGTCATTGGACGCGAAAATTCTGGTGTTATTTTTTCTCTCTCGCCTTCAAAATAGCTGATGGTGTGGTTTTGATGGTGACTGAGCGAGAGAGAGAGAGAGCAATTGAGATGTGATGTGCTTGAATCGTCATATTTACATATGTTGAGTGGTCGGATATGTGTTTGTATGAGTGGCGGGCGTGCAAACACTCGATTCAATGATTCCTGTATTGAGATTTCGTTATGATCTTCATGTTTCTTTTGATTGATTCGCACTCAACCAAAACAGATACAGTTACAGAGGCTAAAAATCGCATTATTTCATTTTCTGCGTTGCAATTGTTTATACCGTTTGCCGTGTGCAATACAGTGAATGAGTAGAAGAAAAAAGCACCGTCAAGTATTGACGCTATTTGATTGTAGGTTTGTTTTTTTCCCCTTCATTTATTTGTCGCTCGGGTGCTTGTTTGGAAGCGTTATAATTTATGATTTCAATTTTTCTTGCTGCTGCTGCTTGTTGCTCGATGCCATTGGATTTTGTTTGTAGTTATTTCAGCTTATTGTTTAGCCATTTCTCAATGATACTCACGAAGATATGTTTTGATTTCATCGCGACGATGGTGTGCATCTCGCAAAGAAACATAACGCCTAGACCAAACAAACGAACAATCAAAACAATCGGCGATGGAATGCGAATCCGTGATTTACTACAATTTTTATGATTGTTTGTTTCATTTGAGCAAGCATATATGCGATTGAAAACCGAAAAACCAAAATTAATCGCATTTTATGGATTCTCCAAAAATGATTCAAAGCATACACCGCACAATCATAAATTGCAAACAAAAAGTTCATTTATATTTACTATGTTTACTCATTCGTTGTTTTTTTCATCGTTTATTAAATTAATTTAATAACATTATTAGTTGAAGTGCGTGTGTGTTCTTTAATTAACGGATAAAGTTGATAGAAAAGAGCAAAAAGAGCACAAACCAAAAATAGCACGAAAAAAACCACAAATTTTCGTTAAGTCCAATAAAAGCAGCAGTATCAATAACTGACCGGATGCTAGTTGACGGCCTGTCAGTCGCGTTATACATTCTTTTCGGCCATTTGGCTATTCGGGAAATCTTCATTCCGCAGAAATCGGTTCGATTACTTCAGATTTTTTTTTCGGGTTTTCGCGTGTACACGATCGCACTTGTTGTGTGTATGTGACCAGTGATCGAACAAATGCAGTGGCATCAAATCAATTAAACACATTTCCGTAGTTTTTCATTCTTTCTTTCTTTCACCAATTACGTTATCGTTATTAATTTCGGCCATTTTCTATAGCCACGGCGGCCACCTTCTTTCGATAAATGAATTAGACGGCTTTGGCTTTGGCGGTTTGTTTTCATGTTTTGTTCATCGATCACATTTGTGTTCGAATAACAGCCCATAATTTTGATACGCTTTGTAAGTTTTGTAATTTCAACGAAACAAAAGTAAATAGAAAAAAAAAATCGGGTAAAAATAATTGCTCGAAAACGAAAACTTGTCCGTTGAATTGAGTCGATAAAAATGCCTTACTTAGTGAAGGTGATTTGTGATGGAATCTTTTTTTTGTGCAAAAATAAAATCGAAACTGATCGTTATATTTACTTTCGATTTTGGTCGGCGGCTAAAAGAGAAAAAAACCATCGACATGCCCCATTGTTTGGTGATAATCAATTTCTTTCTGATTTTAAACTGTGATTAAGAGTGACTGTCACTGCGCTGCGGTCGTGTCACTGAAACTGCTCACTTCGATCCGAAGAAATTAGGTCAAGATGTTTTAAAACTTTATAATTTGTTGCTTATTTAAATTCTGTAAGACAAAATCAAAACAGTGAAGAACAATGCAAACGGCTTGCCTTGAATCTGGTTTACATGGAGAAGAAAAAAGTATAAACGCGTATCTAACGGTAACAAGCGTAAAAATGACGATTTCGTTTTTTATTTACTCGCGTTCAAACATTAAGAAGAAGATGGCAGTAAATTTGGTCAAGACACAGAGAAGCGCAAAAAAATATTAGGGGAAAAATGGCAATTATCTATTAATAATAAATAATACCGAAAAAAAAGAAAAAGTGAAACAGACACAGGCTTTTCAATTTTATTATTCGCACTCGACTACTTCGCAGACGTACGATTATCTGAAGCACAATCTTTAATTTTGAATATATTAAAAATACTCGGCGTGAAACGAAAAAATAGCACGGCCCAAACGTGTGCAGCTGGTAACATCTGGTCAAACCGCAAAGAAATTGGCATGATTTGAATGTTTTCAAATCGAAAAATTCAAATGAGGTTGGACTGGTAGAAGAGCACCATATTTGATCATAATACAAATTGTGTCAGTACAATCATCGAAATTAAAGCCACTGCCATGCGCCTATCTGACCGATTTCCAACACACACAAATTAGTTCACCCATTTCTAAGATCTTTTCTCCTAAAGTATTCGCTTTTTTCAAATCAATTGCATCGGCCGTTTCAGTGCATCTTTTGTCGAATGCCGTTATTCGGCTCAGTTTTCACCTCGACGCTTGCTCCGGCAGCGTTTGAACAGCATAAGTCATTTAAACGAGATGAGTTGCAGAATTTAAATTCAATAAACCGGACCATTGCCTTTTAATGGTTGCACCAAACAATTAGCTCTAGCACACAACGAATACAGGCAAATGGCGCAGTATTCGGTATTATTCAAATGTTTGAACTTCACAATCCAGATCAGTCGATATTCACGAAAACAGCTGAATGAGGACATGACTTAAGCTAATTCTCTTTTGCTTCGATTGACTTCTTGAGAATTTGGATCACATGAAACTATACCGAATTCGATAGAGTAAACGAGATTTAAATGCACGAGATAGATACGAAGGAAACGCATACCGGTTTTTTCATCTGAATTGGTTCATAGTTAAACTCTTCTCGCAAATGCATAACGAAGATGTAATGCTGTAGCGTCGCTAGTAGATTGACTTTCCAACGAATGGTGTTTAGAAGAATGACCTCAATTTTACAAAAAAAAAAAAGATAACAGAACATTCTGAATCAGAACTTCTAATCCGAAAAAATGAAAATTATGTTTTTAAGTCAAATACTTTTGAGCGGTTGAACAAAAGAAAGCATTCTGACTTTGTATGCACAAATTAAATGCTCATTTAACTCTTTTCGGCTACTCTTTTGCTCATTTTTTTCCAAAACTTCTTCTTGTTCTTTTCTTTTTCTTCTTTCTTATTTCGTTCATTTGCTTCCTCTTGTCTTCTAAACTAAGTCATTTCGAATCAAATAAAAACTCCTCAACATTTGACCTGGGCATTTGCATCAAACTAATCAAATTTATTTGCCAATTTGTTGAGTTTTATCGTTCACAATTTATTTTTTATGTTTTCTTCTATCAACATTTCTGCTTATTTTCCTTCCAATAACATTTTCGTTTATATTTTCTCTATCATTTTGACATGTTTTTTTTTCTTTCGCTTAAAAAACTAAATCTCTCTCTCTCGCTCTTCGCATAATTAATTCCGCTCGTAATGATGGTCATGACAAATTGCTGATATAAATCCGGTATGGTTGTTCAGTAGGCGACATTTGTTTGTATGGTGTTCATGGTGGCGGTTGATTGATAAATGCCATATTTATTGTCGGTGTCTTGTAGATAAACGTCATTGCCGCAGCTGGCCACATGGAAGTCAAGCTTGCGATGTGCTCGAAAGATGGTTACGAATTTTGTGATAACAAATGCCAAGCACACACAACAGATAAACACGAGTAAATACTTCATGGTTAATAAATGCGCTTCGAGTGATCGTTCGCGATCCGAGTGTGAAATGTGCAATTCGGGAATGTCGTTGTTGGTGTAGCTGATTTTGTTGTTGTTGTTTTGATTGCTGCTGTGGCTTGGCTGTAGAATTGCGACAATCGCTTTGTGAACGTTGTATTGATGGTCGTAGTGATCGTTGTGAACGCGATTGTATGCAATAGAATCGTTGGTCGGATGGTCGCATGCAATGCCATTGATATGAGTTTCATTTGTGTGAACGAGTTCCGGGTCGATGCTCAAGCCAAGCTCATCCCATTTCAATGTGCGCAATAGTTTCGCCAAATAAGTGCAATTGAAATTATTGTTGGAGATGCTTAGAACCGATAACTGCGGGAACATTGAATTGGTCAAACCTTCCATTTCGGTTAAGTTATTTCCATCGAGAACAAGTTGTTCCAAATTTTTCAAATACGGTAGAAAGACGTCGAAATTCATCTTGTTGAGGTTATTATAAGAGATGTCCAACGATTTGAGCTCTTTTTGGTGGAAAAATGTGCCAAAGTTGATATTCGATAGATTTGTGTGGCCGAGATTCAAATGCTCCAAATTTGTCAGTTTGGCAAAGGTGCTGATATTCAATTTTCCCACGTAATTGTACGACAAGTCGAGTGTTTCCAGCGAATTGAGATGCTCAAAAATGCCCGTGATATTCGTTAAGTTATTACTGGCCAATTTTAAACTCTTCAAATTGCTGATTCCATTTTCGATGTAAACGTGCCTGATTTGATTGTGCGACGCATGCAACGAGGCCACATTCCGAAGAGTTAATTTCTGCAGTTGATTGTCATGAATGATCAAATCTAAATCGATGCCCGATATGCAGGTCGTGTTGAATTCTTCCAGTTTATTCACGGACAAATCGATTTTGTTCAAATACTTTAGCTCTTTTATCGAGTCGCACTCCAAACGAATTAACCGATTGTTATTCAACGACAAACGAGCGAGCAATGTGTTGTGGGCAAATAGGTCAACATCGATCATTTCCAATTGATTGAAATCCAAATGTAGCTCATCCAACATTATCATCGTTGCGAATGTATTTTTATCCAAAGTCCGAAGTAAATTGTGCGATAAATGCAATCTCGACATTAAAATTGCGCTCGCAAATGCACTTGCACTCACTTTCTCGATATTATTATACGAAAAGTCCACCACACTGATGTTCGGCGCACCCAAGAACAACGAAGATGTCAATTCGGACATTTTATTATGCGATGCCGATAAATACATCAAATTTTCCGCTTTTATAAAGTCGCCGCGACGAATAGACTCGAGATCGGTGAAGGAAATATCAAACTCGCGTATTCCATCGAAGTAATGGAAAATCATGTACGGAATGTTGATTGTTCGGCTTTCCGTGAATTTCACTACTTTCACCAAATGACGATAGTACGGATACACATTGCAATCGAAACTATCGAAATCGTCCAAACGAATACCGGCAACCGTACAATAAAGTCCTTCGTATAGTAATTGTTCATCTTTGAATTCATCACACGGCAACGGGATTTCTTTATTGAAAACTAACGTGGCTAAACCGACCACAGACAAAACACACCAAACTCCAACACTTTTCATTTTCAAAGTCTTTAGAGTTATTTTTTCGCATTAGTGACTGAACAGAGCGAACGTTAAGAAATGAACTGAAAGGATTTGTGATGAATATTTGCATTTTATAGCATTTTTGCATCGTTTTTTCTACAGATATCGAATGAGCATTGTTTTATATGCTGTTTTAGCATAATAAGTACTTGACTGCAAAAAAAACAATAGTGATATGCGATATCTTGTCGCAAGAACGGATGTTCCCGATGATATTCTTTATATCTTCTTATTATGGACTAGGAACAACGCGGAAAACGTTTAATTTGCTGATTAAGAGGAAAATGAACTTTGGATGATAGCAAATATATGCAATTCTTTGAATGAGCCATTTAAAAATGATATTTGAGTGGAATTTAAAGAGCTATGACTAGCAGTTTATTATATTTTTAGCGGAATTCTATGACGATTTGAAATTTAAAAAAAAGAAAAGATCTCAGTTCGTATACGACCACTCTTATTCATACATGAATGATAATTCTATCAGCTGTGAATGTCTCGAAACGCAAAATGTTTTGTTTTTATTTTACTAATCGCGTTGCGCGCACTTCGACTCGATTTTTCTTCGATGTGGATGTTTCAAGATGTAAAAAAATATTTTTCAGGAAAAGTAAAAAGTCTTGATTTCGCCTGTTCAATTTAAAAGAACGTCTACTCAATGAAAAAAAAGATCAACAGTGCACTAACCTGATTTCTGGGGCAGCTTCGACAAGTAGCCTAACGCAATCTAAACATCCCCGAGCTGCTGCATAATGTAAAGCCAAGGCACCACCGCCACTCGGTCGATCCATTGACGGCATCAACGGATGTGTTGGCGATGAATTAAGCGAACCCAAATGCGTATGCATGTTGAGTTCGTTCGCTGCGTTACAACCCAGTGTTGGTCTGTGAGAAAAAAAATTGAAAGAAAACTCATTTTAGTTGTGCTATAGTGAAAGCTGGCCAATTTATTTTATGGCATGAAATGAAGTGGAGATGGAGAAAGAAATTTAAAAAACGAAACGATGGTTAAAATGGAATGGATTGCCTAGCTTTTGGCGTTTTAAAACGCGACGTTCACGAATCGAAAGACTCGCAAATAGCGAAGCATGGACTATTGGCGTACAAAATACTGTGAAACGGTAGAAACACATTTATAGACCGGCAATTGATGTCATTTTGTACATTTTATCACTATTTTACATTTTATTACAGTATTGTTTTTGTTTTCTACTCATTCTCCCTAATCATCAGCACGGCTGGATCGGTAAGTGTAGTAGCGTAAGTCTATCTTTAAACCACATCTATGTTTTGAACTTCAACTGAGTGAGCATATATTTGAATATGAAGTAGCATTCAGTGTAGTTCATGGACATTTCAATAGAAATGCACTAATAAGAACTTATTCAACTTAAAATTTGATCGATAACGTGCAAAAAGCTGCACGCAAAATGGCATAAAATGTAAACAAAACGGCATGAAAATGGGGGAGAGCGAAAATAAGTTCATTTGACGGCGGGCAATGTATCTCATTAATCGTGTTACGTTGTTTTCTGCTTGTGTGAATGAATCGATGAAATGCAGAATATTTGCATTTTTCGAACGGAGGAATGAATTTCGAGCAGAAGATATGCCCTGTAGTCGAAACGAATGTACACCAAAACGACTAACGACTCGCGGTGCAATGAATTGTTTGCTGAAAGGTGCTTGTTTGGGAGTTGAATGAACGATACGAACCGATGTTGCTGGCTAATTGACGGTTTTGAGAGAGAAAAAAAGGTAAACAAAATAATTAAAGCAGCCCGTAGCTTATGGATTCTATTCTATCTCTGCAGCCCAGCAAAATGAACAGCGCGGTTATGGTGAGTGCGTTTGAATTCACATAAGAGCAGTTACACACAATAAACTGGCGTTAATTTTAATTACAATTGCTCGTACAATACGCGCACGGAACAATGATTCGGCACAAAGTCGGAAAGATAAATGAAATGCGAGCGAGTGAGTGCGATTCAATGAAAGATGAATTCCGATTTCAATCAATGCCTTTTTTCATTTCATTTCAATGCCAACCAAATGCGCTGGATCTGATAATGAATTGTCAACGGGAAAAACAATGCAAGTACTGCGAGTACCGTGACCTCGGTGCGTGGCGTGTGTGATTTTTTTTTCGAAGTGATTAATTTTTTTTTGGACCAGTTTAGCGGGTTCCATAATTTGCCTCACGCAAGTGTGACATCAGCTAGACATATCGGCTTTGGTTGTCAAATTACCGAAACAAGTCATTGAAACGTGAGGTTCCACCGGCACAACCCCCTTTTTGATGATTAATTAATATTTTGAACCACGAGCTCGACGCTTCCGAGAAATTCAAACACACGAAAATTGTTTTTTTTTCTTCTATTTTTATTCTATATTCCTTTTGTTTTTCCATTTCTGTCTCATCATTCATTTTGAAGTACATTTGTTTTTCAACTTTTCATTTCGTTAACTCATCATAGTTATATATCAATTTGACCTGAAGCGCATGTCTAAATCGTGTTCAAAATGTGGACCAACTCTTTTCTGATGAATTGTTCCAAAGCATCAAGATTCTTGACACAAACATCACGTTGTCAGCGTGACGAAAAAAAGGCAATGAGTTGCCCAACACAATTTTGGTTAGTCAAAGCGTGAAAATCTTGGTGTCAAAATACATATGAGCTGTCTTAAAAAAGCAACACAGCACACGAGAATGGAACATGTAACAAAACAACTGCATCTATTGTTTCTAAAATACGTCGTTTTTCTTTATCTAATCTGTTTGATCTCATCGTCTCGTCGACGATGACGATGGCGGCGGTGCAGGAATAAAAAAAGATTTTACTTTCTTCCAAAAAGCGAAAACTCACACTTTGAAAACGAAGGGCTAAGCAAACAAAAGATAATTACCGAGTGTTACTCTCTTAGAATATCATTCGGTTTGAAATAAAGAGAGAGAGAGAGAGAGAGAGAGAGAGAGAGAGAGAGAGAGACCTTGAGTGTGAGAAATGTTAAATAGTTTCGCGGTAATCGCACTTGAAATGTGCGCGCTTTAATTTACAAATTCCATGAATTCTCCACTGAAAACGGAATGTGAAAATCCGTATCCGATTTGTGTTCTTAACGAGATTATTTCACATAATGAATCTTCTTAATTTGACTTCAGATCCCCGCTCGCATCCAATTAATTACAACACTTTGATCAAGTTCTGAATTTAATTCAGCTCAAGTTATAATTGAATCCGAGAACGTATTTCGTTGTTTTTTTCTGCTTTGACTGTTGAAAATAAAAAATCGTTAATTAATAATTTGACACACATTTTTTGTTGCTCCCTTTGTGGTTGTACGTGGATTCAATGAGATATGGTTTGTTTGTAGGACGAACGCGCACACAAATGATTTGCAATAACAATTTATGAAAAATGCTCGTAATCGACGGTTGAGGCGCATGAACATTGTTGAAACGCAAATCAAGGCATGTATCTCTGTGATTATGCAATGACAACAAAAGAAACATGTTTGAAAACCAACTTCAAACTCATTGAATTTATGGTGCGACTTGGCTTTTTGCAGCCCGTGTACGCATCATCTTTGAACTTTAGTCACTTTTTGTTTGCTTGTACACCGTGTTGTTTTGATGTCTAAACGGGCTAAATGGTATCATCTTATTTGGTATATATATGGGAATGGACGGGCTACTCGTATACCAAATTGTAAGTGAAAACATTTGAATCAAGGCGATTCGTTGCGCTATTAAAATGAAGAAGAAGCAAGGCAGAAAAACAACATAACGACACAGCAACATCAAAATGATCATAATGTTTATTGTTAATGGCCGGGAATTCGTCATCAATACTTTGGGTTCATGAATAATTTTGGGAAAATTTCACACATAGAAAGGCACAAAATACCAATTGGTACACCAAACAGTACAAAAATCATGACAAACGAAGCTAAGCAACGTACTAAGTTTTTCTAATTATCGTCCAAAAAATGCAATGAAATGGTCGAAAAAGACCGCGAATATTGGTGTCAGTTTTTCGATTCTAGCGGATCGTTCCGATCGAACGACGTCTACGAAATCAATTGAATATGAGTAAAAAAAAACGTTCCAGTCGTCACTCTCATGTAAATACACCAGGCAAGAAAGAAAAAAAAGAGGTTTTTTACACACCGACTGTGGCATTTTTCACATGGCACAATGTCCACCACTTGAGTGATTGGCTGCTGTTGAATTTCCTTGGCAATAATTTCGGGTGTGCTTCGATGTGGCGACGATCCACTCGGATAGGTTATGCTCTTTTGCACTCGCGACATATTCAATTGTGATGCATTATTGACTAGCATCTCCTCCACGCCTTTGTTCCGTTGACTGAAATAGCCCCAATGCGCCGCCAAATCGTATACATTCTCATCGAACACAAATAAATGCTGATCACGTTGCAAGACGAGTTTCCGTTGATAGGTGGCTGCCGTTTGCATTGCACTACTCGAACGATTCGCTCGAAACAGTTTCATTTTCTTTTGACGCACTTCCAACGACAAAATGAATCGAATTTTGATTTGACGACGGAATTTTTCACGTTGTAATTTCAACCGTTGTTTTTGTAAGCGTTTCGAACGTGCTGATTCGAATTTTTGCAAGGTGCGCAATTGCTGTTGTGTGGCCGGCGTTTGATCAATGGGTTCCCAACCAATTGCATTGGCCAAATCAATTCGTTTATTTTGCTGACGCCACGGAACCAATTCAAAGTGTGAAAATTTTGCATCAAATTGCCACGGATTGAAATTGGTTTCATTTTGTGAGTATCGTAATAACCAATCGCCGGCACATGATTTTGGCACAATGTCCCAATCGCTCTTATGAAATTTTGCTGTTTTGGTTTCACTCAACGACGATGCGGCCGCAAAATGTGGACTCTTTGCAAATATATTCACCGTGGACGCACCAATGAAACTTTCGGCGATCGGTTTTTCGGAGTAATCGTAAAATTGGGGCTCCTCGAATTTTGAGCGCTGCTTTTCAGTCAATTTGGCCGGCGTTCGGAAGCAAATCTCATAAACACCGCACAAATAATCAAAATAATTCATTTTTTAACGACTTTACACATGTTTCATTTCACATGACAGAACAGTGTTTGCTGGTAACGAAGGGAACTAGTTGGAACAGTCAACACAATGAGAATGACACTTTGTTGTGAGAATAAAATGTTAAAACTAAATAATGTTGAAGGAACATTTCCGGTAGCAATTAGAAATGGTCGATGTAAAAACCCGAAAAAAAACTTGCACTTTTTGCACTTGACTTTGGCACTTCACATAACGGGCTGTGTCAAACGTGTGAATCATTCGCCTTCGGTGGTTATTCTGCCATCAGCAACAACATTTCAACCATTCTTGACTAATGACAAACTCTAATCGCCCGTAATGATTGCATAAATACCCGCATCCACATCGAAATATTCAAAGTCACTGTTCTGCACAGTAAAAGCACCAATTTATTATTTTCAACTTGAAAATGAACATTTATTCTCAAAGCAATTCGTTTTTCAATGAACTTTGTTCGGATTTTGTTTTTCTCACACCATAAAATCGACACTCGGCAAATAAACCAAAACGATTGTGACAAATGAACGCGCGGAACGAGTCATATCGCGCATATCATTGGAACCGAACTGAATGGTGGATCGGTCTCTCAGGTGATCGTCACACTCAACAAGCGACCAAAACAAAATAAAACCCATTGAAAAAACGTACACACGGCGAGCGAGAGAAAGAGACACGCGATGCGCGTAGCGTACAACAACGCGACAGATTGCCAACAGTACACAGTTCTGAAGGCACAACAAAATAAAACAGCGATACATTCAACTTTGCGGCAACAATGTGTATGACAGAAACGGCCGGTTAAAAAGGGAAAATGGTTGTAGCATGAACGCCAAAACGACACACGGCTCACACTTTCGTGTCGGAATTTGAATGCAATGGCAATAACGCGATTGAGCTCGATGCTCGCGCCCGTACTCGTTCGCTCGCCGACTGTGTGCGTTCACTATAAGCGCACACATTTACTCATTATGCTGCATTTATTACACACACAATAAATTGGATTTATTTGAATTGTTGGACTGACGATGCGTACGCATAACACCCGACCAATGAATTACTTTAAGCAAACGGCGCATAAGACATTTACGAAAAATGTGGCAAGAAATACATAATAATTATGCTAAAGAACTTCGATTGAATAATTCGCACGGCCATTAGAATTATTTCGATTGTGGAGGGATTTTTATGAAGAAAAATGAAACAACATTGTGTAAGAATCTTTGCTTTCTCCTTCAATTAAATGATTTGTTTTCGACACTACCCGAATGGAGAGTAAATTATTGCTTCAGCGTTTGGCTTCGGTTTCTTGGAACCATATTTGGATTGAAAAGTCACTACAAAGAAAGTACATTAATCGAAACAACATTGCGTAAGTTTGGTTAGTTGTACGTTAATCGCCATCAGCTATTAATCTATTGCATCGCAAAGAATCATGTAATGTACATGAGGCGTCGAAATAGTAAGAAACCTGAAAACTCATTTGATGAATGAGTTTTTTTTTAACATAAAATTGAATAGAATCGTCGACACCCATTTTGGCTTTGGTTGACATCATTATTTTCTCATTTCTGTAACAAATTACGAAATATCTCTGACCTTTGATGAAATCCAGCGCGAGCAGGATGATACTTGATGCGTGTCGCATATTTTTTTTTGGTATGTAAATTTTTCGGTTGTGGTATGAGTAAAAATGCGGTTGAAACGCCTTTGATATTGCAAATTGACATAAATTTATTAGATTTTAAGTAAATGAATATTTCATTATATTTCCAAATTGGCCAAAAAATCATAAAAACTTTGGCCAGTTTGTACAAGAATCTCAGTTCATCGATAGCAAAGACCAAAGGAGAGGAATAATCGAAAAAATAAACTTTTCGAATTAAAATGCTTCCAACAAAATGAAAAATCATTTTAATTCAAATGAAAGTGTGTAGACAATGAATTGGCTTTGAATTCTCCGAAATCACGAATGGGAAAAAACAATTTACGCATACCAAATGAGTATGGTATATGTTGTTTTTTTTTTCCATCGTCCGGAAATGAAAAGTGAACACGCAACACAGCAGCCGCTTTAAACTTCTCTGACTAGAAGCAGAACACGAATGTATGTGTTTTGAAAAAAAAGAGCGAATGTAGTAATAATTGCCGGTAATGACAATAAATTCTCTTGGTTCTATTATTCGCTCTTGATGGCAGTCAAATTCACGTCGATGTTGCTTTGAAGCTGAGTGCCTCAAAACTAGACTCGTTCGGTGGGTATTTTGAATGTGATGTCCGGTGGAGTTGTGCAAATATTTCGGCTGGTTCATGAAAACTCTATCGAATGAATCATCGACACAATACAAAAGCCCACTTGGTTTTATGAGGTAAAAATCAGTCACTGGAAACGGGCAGAAGATTTATTAAGTTCAGCCATGTGGTCATATTTTTCATACGCAGTTTTAATGAAATTATCCATTTCAATGGCAATGAGATCACATTTTCGCAAGAAAATTACGGGAAATTACAAGCAAAAGATTAAATTGCATAAAATTAGACAGAAAATAACCGGAGCACTTTGGGCTTTAAAATAAACGGTATGGATGTAATGCATAAGTGAGAAATGAAATCGAAATCGTATTAAACGCCGTAATCGGCCGCAAAGAACCATGCAAGTTCAATTCAATTTCGAACAATAATTGCTGTAATTTGGACATTTGCGAAAGAGTGGCGAACATATAAACTGAGATGGACAATTCAAAGACGAAATAAAATAGAAATCATCGGATCAGGTTACAAGAATCAGCTTTTTTTTTCTTTTCGTTTTTTTTTCTTTTTTCAATTTTTCATCATTCAATCGATCGACAATGAAACGACACCATACATTGTATTCGAATGGAATGAAATCAGCGAGCAGTAGTAGTGTAACTGGAGTGTGTGGTCATTGTCGTTGTCTTTACAATCTCGAACATACACATCTAGTGATTACAAGTGATTAGCTACTGCACAATCACGAATTGCACGCGGCGTGAACGACAGCAAGGAGCCGAGAAGAGCATGAGAAAAAGAGGGATAGAAAGAGAGATCTTGAAAATGATAGCGAAAAAAAAAATTGAAAAATTGCACGATCAGTCAATTGAAGATTATGTATTGCCATGCTCTCGGAATTGTCATACGTATAACGACGACATTTGGCGAGCGAACTAACGAAAGAAAGATTGTAACTGCTCTTGCCTTTCTCTATGTTAAAACAGCCAATCGATTCGCAGTATTGCACCATAAACGAGGCAGCAGCCCGTTACGCAGCCTCACTGTCTGTCTGTCGGTCGTTGCATTCATTTTATTACGAAGCGATTAAAGTCAAATTGATTGAGAAAGTGTCGCTGTAAAGTCGCAATTGCAACAAAACGAAACGAGCAAAAAAAAATTATAGACATTTTTTGCGACTTTCTGATCGAATAATTACCGGGGCAAGTCGATGTGATTTACGCTTAATTGATAACATCGCAAAACAATGCTCCTTTTTATTGACTCAATCAGCAAATGAACTCGATCCCCGGTTGTTTTTTTCCTTTCTTCACTCCAAACACCACAAAGAAAAAAACATGTGAGAAAGACGTATATCTCGTTAGAGTTTATTGTCTATTGTTAATAGCAGTCGTTTCAACAACTCGATAAAATCGATGCGATTTATAGTCTAATGACCGTTTATCATCTCGCACATTTTTGTGTTTTTCGTTGTTGTTTGTGTGTATGTTGTGAAAATGTGCTTATAATCATCGATGCTGCCGATAAATAGGGTTATTGGTTCCGTCGACCCAAAACACCTTGAATCATTTTCGCTTTATCGAGCTTGTAATTGGAGACTTAACGATCGACAATGACGTCGGCAACTTTTGAAGCGTTTTGATTGGAAAATTGCATCGTGGCAAATCAATCACTTGCGACGATCGTTGATATCGGGCTGAAAGATGACACGGCAATTAATAAACTTCATCAATTTCAATTCATTGTTGTGAATGCGGTGGAGAAAAAATTGGCTAAAATTAGCAGTGTTTGAGATAGTTAAAAATAGCTGCGGCTGAGAATAGATTGAAAATTGTCTTCTCATAACCTTGTTCATTGGGATCGGATTTGAAGTGATCACGATTGGCGATAAGAGAAATTAAGCCAAGGAATGTATGAAATATATGCGTGCAACGAAAGGGATTTCGTTTGACGAACAACAACGAAACGAGATGTAGCCGCTACAACGAACACAGACGCTACAATCAATTTCGACTTGTTCAATTCGGAGCCGATTAAATGAGGTTTGTCGCCTTCAATGGCATAGTCTTTCGTGCACCTTCAATAACATTTTGTCTTTTTTTTCGTAGTTTTTCACCATTTTCTTGCGTTTTATTTATTGCTTGTTTAATTGTCATCGACGCGGCATTTGTTCATCGAGCGGTAATTCTGCGTGACGATCATTTATTGCGATGAAATTTTTGCGTGCACTGGATCTTACGCTGGTGATGGTTTCATTTTTTCGGCGAGTTTTTGTGGCTTTCTATTGTGCTGCAAGGAGCAATTATTGCAGTAATTATAATTTAAAATTGTCGCGCGCTCGCGTACATGTGAAATGGTGTCAGTGCATTGGGATTTTTCCACAAGCTTTTTCTTTGGATGTGGTTCATGCATAAAAACAAATATACTATTTGAAATGATGTCTGTGTTTTGTGGCTTGGTGTTTATGTTTAATTTTTATTCGCTTACAGTGTAATTGTTCGTCTTCGAGGCTAAAATCAAGTTGTGTCACGTGGGTACGTGGATCTTTTTACTCTCTTCTGGCCGCCAACTAATCTAAATGCAACAATTAAATTTGTGTGATGGTTCTTTGAGCAATGTTTTACTTTTCCTCCAATTACAAAATAAGCGATTTCCATTGTGCTTATTTTGGCTAAACATGCAAAGAACCAAATGCAGAAAGCAGAAGAAAAACAACAACATTTTATGCCTAAATAAATAAAGAAAAAAAACTGTACATTTGTTCGTTTTTCTTCCGCATTTGAACGCACGCGGTCCAAACGGAACAAAAAATTGATCGGATCTATTTCTTTTGAAAAGTGCATTCAAAACGACCGCAATCATGCACCAATTAATTTTATATGCATATGATATTTTGTTTGGTTGCGCGCGCACAAAATCGGTTGCATGTTTAACTGTTCTACGTTCCAGTTCCGTTGGTCCCGAGATTTATTTTTTTGCTGGTACTGTTAGTTGCCGCCGCCGCCATCGTGGCTGTTTGCCAAACACAATCATTTTCCACGGTTTTTGAATCGCAACCAAATTGAAGATAGAAAAAATGAAGATGATGATGGATGCGGTGGTTGGCAGCAACAAGAATTGCTTTTTCATTAAGTACATTAATTTCCATCAAATATTCATCAAGTCCAGAGAGAAAACCGCTTCCCGATCCAGTGCGTTTCTTCGTTTGAGTCCAGTGAATCGTCGGGGAAGTACACAATTGTGCAACTGCGTGCTGTTGCGCTGCTGATGATCAATTCGACCGCTAATGAGCAAATTTTCTTATGAAATCACACACATGGAACACTCTTTGATAGCGAATTAGATGCTGGGTGAAATTGTCGATGTGTGCTCAAATGATAAATCGACAGCACATATTTTGCTTGCCATTTTCTAAATCGAAAATTATGAAATAATCGACTCGAACAGCAGTTGCACATGGAGCAAGATGAAATCAGGTGAAAGAAAATGAAATCGATCACG